ACTAACAATAGAACTCCCTTATGACCCAGCAATAGCACTGCTAGGAATTTACCCAAGGGATACAGAAATGCTGAGGCATAGGAGCACATGTACCCCAATGTTCATAGCAGCACTCTCCACAATAGCTAAAACATGGAAAGAGCCTAAGTGTCCATCCACAGATGAATGGATCAAGAAGATGTGTTTTATCTATACCATGGAATACTCCATGGCAATGAGAAACAATGAAGTGTGGCCATGTGTAGCAACATGGATGGACCTTGAGGGTGTTATGCTGAGCGAAATAAGTCAGGCAGAGAAGGACAAATATCATATGTTTGCATATATAGGAGGATTAGGAGGAGCTTAACTGAGGAACAAGGGGGGGAAGAAGGGCGGAAATGGTGGGGGAAAGGGAGAGAGGCAAACCATAAGAGACTCTTGAATGCTGACAAAGACTGAGGACTGATGGATGTAGGGGGGAGGAGGGGAGGGGCATGGAGGAGGGCACTCGTGGGGATGAGCACTGGGTGTTATGTGGAAACTAATTTGACAATAAACTATTTGTAAAAAAAAAAAAAAAGTCATCCCCCTCCCCAAAGTAAATGCTGCCCACTCAGTATTCTGTAGTACATTGGACCAGTGGATTTGGCATCTCTGCCTTTTGGGAAGAGTCAAGAAGGAAGGTGAGGGAGATGCGAGCACATGGGTGAATATTTTCCTCTCACTTTAGACAAAGCAGTTAATAAGGAAGCACTGAGTTCCTGCTGTGTATTAAGTAGCATGTGTTGTTAGGTGCTGTTAAAGACATGTAAGTTATGGAACATATTGGGTAGTGAGATGTGAGTGTGAGCAACACAAATCAACAAAAGGAGCATTGTTTGCTAATAAATACAATAGGAACTTAGAGGGAATGATCACTGTGAAATGTAATAGTTGGACTAGGCTTGATGGAAAAAAAGAGGATCATTCTGTGGTACATGTGACAGAGAATCTGAAAAGGCAGAGAAGAGGAGAAGGGCTTCCAGGGAGAGAATAGATCATAAAGGAAGGACAGGAGAGAGAAACGAATAATGGTTTGGGCCAGACTTGCTGTAAGAAAGCCAAGAAGAGACTGGATTAGCTTCTGCTCAAACTATGTGTGTTTCGAATGCTCAAATATTTAGAGTCCAGAAGAATTCAGACTGGGCCTATAGAAACAAGTAAGTGGGATGTAAGGTGATTTATTAGAGCATTCCTTTCCTCTCTGTCTCTGGTGGTACTTTTCTTGGGGACTGGATTTCATTCCTTAAACAAATATTTATTACCTGCCTCCTCTGTACCAGGCACTGTGCTTGTTACTGGGGTTCAACAGTAAACAAGAGATCACAGTCCTTGTTCTGGGAGCTTATAATCTCCCCCAAGGAGATAAATACTATGTGAGTAAATTCATAGTGATGACTTGAGCATAATTTAAAAATTGTACATTTCAAACAAATTATTTTACACCAGTAATTTGGGAAGAGATAGAGGAAGAGGATGGTTTAGAGAGGAGAGGATGCTATTAATAGGTCATTTGCAAGGCTGTTTGTGGCAGTATGTTACAAAGAATTGCAGCCTGGCTGCCCCCTTTGGTAGTCTGTGATAAAACATAAAACTGCAGCTACAGAAGGTACAGTGGCAATGGCCCCAGGTGAAGGCTCTTTTCTCTCTTTTTCTCTTTCATTCCCTCCCCCCACCTTTTGATATTGCTGTCAGTTTTATCACAGTGGTGTAAAAAGTACAGAAGCAATGAACAATGCATGATAAACATATGCCTGATAACAATGCGTGCTATTGGGAAGAAGCTGATGAATATGGTTATAAACATGTTGGAGGACAAATGTCAGATGGGAGCTCTTCATTCACGGTCTGGAGAGGTACAAAGGAGCTCTTCACTAATTTTCATTGTTAGAATAATGGAGTCCGCCCCACCGGAACATCCATAACCTCCTCCAAGGCATTGCCCGTTATGGGCAATTACTAGACGATCAATGATCTGGTTCTAACAGAAAGAGATTTCTTAGAGAATTGTGGAATGTTTCAGCTTTACCTCAGTCCTTTCTCTTGCGTTTTGGACTAGAATTCCATGATAGTGACTTCTGCAAAGAGAGTGATTTAAACACTCCTTGGTTATGTAGATTCATGTTTTATCCTGGAATATTACCTTAAAATCTTCATGGTAGGCTTTGAAGATCTATTTTCATAATATACATAATATATTAAAAAATGTAAGTTCTCAAATTTAAAACCAGCTCTAAACAAAGCCAAATACACTTTGTCATGGTTGAATAATTACCAATGATCAGATGTCTATCACACCATTTTATTCTTTCTGTGACAGTCTGCTAGGACTGCCATAACAAAGTACCACAACTGGGTGGCTTCAACAGCAGAAATGTATTTCTCACAGTTCTGAATGCTACAAGTCCAAGATCAAGGTGTTGGCAGGTTTTCTGTCTTCTGAGGCTGCTCTCCTTGCAGATGGTTATCTTCTTTCTGTGAGGACATGGTCTCCTTGTGCATGCTTCCTGATGTCTCTTTCTATGTCTAAATTTCTTCTTCTTACAGGAGCACCAGTCAGATTGGATTAGGGCCAACCTAATGACCTCATTTTAAATATATTTTTAAATGTTTTATTTATTTACTTATTTTGAGAGAGAGAGAGAGAGAGTGAGCGAGCAAGCAGGGGAAGGGCATAGAGAAGGAGAGAATCCTAAGCAGGCTCCACACTGTCAGCACAGAGCCCGATGTGGGGATCAAATCCATGAACTGTGAGATCATGACCTGAGCCTATATCAAGAGTTGGATGCTTCACCAACTGAGCCACCCAGGTACCCCAACTAATTGCTTCATTTTAATTAGTCATCACTTTATAGACTCTCTCTTTAAATGCAGCACCATTCTGAGGTACTAGAGGTTAGGGCTTTGACATTTGAATTTTGAAAGAACACAATTCAGTCCATAACAATCCTTCCCAATCCTAATAAATAGTTTTGGTCTTGCCAGACAAAGTGCAAGGTACAGAGAATCGGTAGAATACTTTCCCTGGGGTAGCGAGTGACATCTCATCCATGCTCCCAGGGCTCAGTGTTGAAATGAAAGAGTGCTAATAGAAGCTTTTAAAGTTCTGCATTTCCTTTCTGTTATTTCTTGAGATTCTACAGAAGGAAGAGGCCTGCGCTCTACTTTTGTTCTGACCTAAAGAAATAAAGATGATCTCCTGCAAGATTTCATTCAAGGAGAAGGATACTACTTCTAGTTTGTGGATGACAAAAGCTTTGCGTGACAGGTGACATTCCAGCAGGGATTTGGAGAATGGGCAGCAGCTAGATGTGAAGAAATTGGAGTGTAAGAGGCAAGACAAAAGCCTTGTTTTGTGGGAGAGTGTGGCATGTGTAAGGATGTTATTTCTTGCAAATATTGCAAATAGGTGAGGCATTTTATGTGAGTTATTATTTTGAACTCCCCTCAGAACCCCTGGGAGCTAAGCTAAACAAGAATCTACAGTCCTTTTCAATGATGAGGAAACAAAAGCTCAGAGATGTTGAATAACTAATAAGTAAGAAAGATAGGATTGAAGACACCTGTCTGACTCCAGGGTTCTTCACACAAAGAGGCACATGTATTAATTTTCTACTGTTGCTGTAACATATTACCACAAACTTTATTTTAAACAACCATAATTTATGATCTCACAGTTCTTTTAGGTCAGAAGTGAGGGTGTGCTAAATGGATTTTCCAGCTCTAGGTCTCACAAGACTAAAATCAAGGTGCCTGCTGGTCTGGGTCCTAATCTGGAGATTCTGGGGAAGAATCTGCTTTCAGCTTCATTCAGGTCATTGGGAGAATTTGACTCCTTGTATTTATATGACTGAGGTCCCTGTTTCCTGGCTGACTGTTGTCAGCTGAATGTCATTTACAGCTCCTATGGGCTGCTTGCATTCCCTGTTTGTAATCCTCTTCATTGTCAAAGCCAGAACTGGCAGACAGGTTGTCATACTTCCTCTCTCACCTCCCCTTCTGCATCCTCTCACTTATCTCCAGTTGGAGAAATTTCTCTGCTTTTAGGGCTTATGTAACTAATTTGGGGCTACCAGATAATCCATGAAAATCTCCCTATTTAAGGTTCATCCCTCAAATCACATCTTCATAGTCCCATTTGCCATGGAAGGTAACATACTCACAGGCTCCAGGGATTAGGGCAGGGACATGGTTGGGGGCCGTTCTGCTTACCAAGCACTGGTGGAAAGATGGCATCACTGGAGCCTGGAATTCCAGGGGCTGGGCTGAGATGGTAGAGTTTCTGTTGGAAGTAATAAAAACACACTGGAGCTGTTTGGCAGCTGGGCAGCCGAGGGGGAGGATAGGGTAGTTGTGGCTTGTTAAGAAATCTGTTCCAAGGGGGTTAATCTGGCAGCAGTGCGTAAAATGAGTTGGCCTGGTGAGAGATTAGAGATTGGGAGAGGAGTTTGAAGGCTTTCAAATTATCACAAATGAGAGCAACAAGGAACTGAAGGGGGGCTTCTAAACAAATTTGCCAAAAATCCAGTTCTCTCAAAGTCAGTTGACCTGTCAATTTGGCTTGACATTAATACTTTCTATTTCTGGCAGAATGGCAGAATGGATAACATTGACTGGACATCCCTGTGAAAAAGGCCAAGTAAAGAAAGGGAAAACTTTGATAAAAAAACTGGCAAAAAAAAGTAGACTAATGCAGCTACCTGGACAGGTAAGCACACCACTGAGGTTGGCTTTCATGTGAAGAACATTCGCAGAACTGCAGGAGCCTCCTGAGGCATGGAAGACAAAAGCACATCTCAGGGCTCTCTAAAGGGAAGGGTTCTACAAAGATACTTGTATCCGGTGCACAGAGCTAAGATCCCGAAGGACCACACCCTTTGTTTAAGAGGTGCTAGAAATAAACCTGGCCTGTCCTTCCCCTACTCCTGGGCCCTAGGGGAATGTAGAGGAGACTTTCTCATTTTATTTTGCTATGGAGTGAAGAGAATCCAGAAACAGACCCAAGAATATATGAATGCTTAATATATGAAAGAGATATAGAACAGAATTTTCAATAAGTAGTCTTAGGAGAATTGGGTATTCATGTTCAAAAAATGATATTGGACCCCTACCTAACATCTCTTACACAAATCAAATTCCAGGTGGATGAAAGACTTAAATATGAAAGGGAACACTAAAATTTTAGGAAACTGTGCTGGTCATCTTTATGATTTGGGGGTAAGGAATAATTTCTGAAACAGAACACAGAGAGTACAAATTAAAAGGATGAGAGTGATAAATCTGACCACATTAAATTTAAATTTTATGTTTATCCAAAGATACTATAGAGGGAAAAGACAAACTATAATCTGGGAGGTACTTGAAATATATATTTCTGAGAAAAGAATAGTATTGTGAATTTATAAAGAATTCCCATGAATTAAAATGAAAAAAGTAGGGATGCCTGAGTGGCTCAGTAGGTTGAGCATCTGACTACGGTTCAGGGCATGATCTCATGGTCTGTGAGTTTGAGCCCTGCATCAGGTTCTGTGCTGATAGCTCAGAGCCTGGAACCTGCTTGGGGTTTTGTGTCTCCCTCTCTCTCTGCCCCTCCCTTGCTTGCACTCTATCTCTCTCTCTCTCTCAAAAAATAAATAAACAGTAAAAAAAATTGAAAATAATAAATAAGCAAAAAGATCAATGGGAAAAACACATTTCAGAGAAGAGAAAAACTTCAATAGCCTGACAAGTGAAAAGATGTATGACTTGAGTTTTCAGGCCAATCCATCTTAAAAGTACAATGAGACTTTACACAAAACCCTGTGCATTCATAGTGGCCCTATTTGTAATAACCCCAAACTGGAAATAGCCAGATATCCTAAAATGGGTGAATGTTTAAAGAAGCCATGGTATATCCATACTATGGACTACACTCAGTCATAAAATGGACAGACTATTGATACATGCAGTAACCTGGGTGGACATCAAGGGAATTATGCTGAGCAAAAAAAGCAAATCCCAAAAGGTTGCATAGTATATGATTCCATATATATAACCTTCTTGAAATGAAAAAATATATACAAGAGGATAATAGATCGGCAGCTCCCAGGAATTAGGGATGGAAGTGGGAATGGTAAAGAAGAGGTTGGGGGTGTGTGAGGTAAGTGGGTATGGTTAAATACGGCAGCACAGGATCCTTGTGGAATGTTCTTAAATTTTTCTGTGGTGGTGCATATACAAACTGACAAATGTGATAAAATTGCATAGAACTAAATACACACATGTGCACACACACACACACATACACACACACACAAGTGAGAACAACTAAAACTGGGGAAATCTGAATAGGATTGGTGGATTGTATCCATGTCACTGTCCTGGTTGTGATATTGTACTTCATTTTACAGGATGTTGCCATTGGGAAGCCTGGATGGAGGGCTCAAGCAATTTCTCTATATTGTTTCTAAGTACTGCATATGAATCTACAATGATCTCAAAATAAAAAGTCTAATTAGGAATAATACAGTGAGCTGCATGTCAGGCCCATCAGACTGACAAAAATTAAAATACTGAACAATAAGCATGGACAAGGAAACGTGCACTTTCCTTCACTGCTGATGGGAATATGTATTTAACACCTTTGAAAAACCACTTGCATATTTAACAACAGTGACAGCAGTCTGCTAAACTTGACACTGTGGCCGAGAAAGTCTACTCTTGTTATTACCTCATTTGTGTGAGATTCCATGCAAAATGAAAATGCAGAGCCCCTTATTCAGAAATTAAGAATTCAACATGGAGACAGTAATGCTCTAAACCAAGTGCAGGATCCTTCTCAGCATAGGGCTCTATATGGCTGCACAGGTTTCATAGTATAAGCTGTCCCTCTCTAGGTATACACCTTAGAGAATCTCTTGGATCATGAACCCCAAGACATACACAAGAATGTTCAGAGCAGTACTGTTAGTAATAAAAAATGACTGGAACAGCCCACATGTAGATGAATAAGTTGTGGTACAGACACACTGAAAGACATCAGGGAAAATGAATGAATTTCAGTTACTTATGATGAGGTTTAGGACATGCTACCTCCAAATATGTCACCTTGACATAGTGAATAGTTTAGGTTGAAGGAATTTGAGAAACAGAAACAGAAAGGTCACTGATCTCCTCCTGCCTCCCATTTCTTCTTTGAAACAGGTCATAAAACCCTTATTTGAGAGGTGCCCTGACTACCTACACCTGAGGAAAGTCACATCTTATCACTGAAGACAAAAGTTTTGCTAAGAAGAATCCAAACACACAGGCCTTGCTAAGTTTCCTCCAGTTTACTACTCAGAGCTCATATTCACCGACCTGTCATATTCCTCCATGACTACCTACTCTTCTTCAAACCAAGCATAAAAATACACAGGTCTGTTTCTTTGGGTCTTCATTTTCTTATGAAAGCTCCTGTGTCATGTAAAACTTACATTAGATAAATGTATGCATTTCTCCCATCAATCTTCATTAGTGTAATTTTCAGACCCAGGCAGGGACACTAAGAGAGTGAGGAAAACTTGTTCCTGTATACTTACAACCTCATGGAAGCATCTGAAGAACAAAATGCTGCCCTAAAACAAGTCCTCCTCCAAATACCCACAACCCTGTATCTGTAGAAGTTTTTAAAAACTGCAAAACTGAACTATGTATTATTTAGGGAAGCAAACATATATGCTACAACTATTAAGAAAAACAAAGGAATGATGAACACAGAACCCTTGTAGAAGGAGTAAGGGGCTAGGGCTGGGAGAGATGAGTAGGAGGGCTGTCTGAGTTAGGGGGGCGTCCTTTTATTAAATAGGCCCAGCAGTATATGGGCTTTTGTTGAATCGCTATTTTTCTTTTTTTTTTCTTTAATTTTTTTTTTAATGTTTTATTTATTTCTAGGAGAGAGAGAGAGACAGTGTGAGCAGGGGAGGGTCAGAGAGAGAGGGAGACACAGACTCTGAAACAGGCTCCAGGCTCTGAGCTGGCAGTCAGCACAGAGCCCGATGCGGGGCTCGAACCCACGAACCGCGAGATCATGACCCAAGCGAAAGTCAGACGCTTAACCGACTAAGCCACCCAGGTGCCCCTTGAATCGCTATTTTTCATACATTACACATACTTTATTAGTTTTTATTTACTAACTGTTTAAGAAGTTAAAACTAATTTTAAGCAAGTTGGCCCTTTTGTGTGGAGGAAATAGACAGTTCATTTATGGTAGGAAATTTTAGATGTATTTTCTAATTTACACATATCTACTACTCAGATGTGCAAAGAAAATACAGTAAAACCTTGAATGGTGAGTAATTTGTTCTGTGAGTGTTCTGAAAGGAGAGCACATATTTCTAATAAATTTTAACTTGATAAGCAAGCGAGGTCTTGCGATATGAGCCATATAGGACCCTGAACATCACATGATCACAAACTGAGGTAATGGTTCTTGAAATTCGCTTTGATATACGAGTATTTTGGATTACCAGCATGTTTTCAGAATGAATTATGCTCATAAACCAAGGTTTTACTGTACAGTTCTTTAATCTCTATAATCTAATTTTCCTCATCTACCCTTACAACGCTGGGTGGAGATAAGCCAGGAGAGCAGGGGGCACAGCCAAGCCTTTTAATAGGTTCCTTTGTGTCTATAGTTTCAGTGGTCTTTTCCACTTGGGAAATGTTCATTTTTTTCAATGTCTTATTTATTTATTTATTTATTTATTTATTTATTTATTTATTTATTGAGAGAGAAAAAGTAGGGGAGGGACAGAGAGAGAGAGAGAGGATCCAAAGCGGACTCTGCGCTGACAGACTTTAGCAGCGAGTCCAGTGTGGGGCTCAAACTCACGAGCCATGAGATCAAGGCTGAGCTGAAGTTGGAAGCTCAACGGACCAAGCCATGTAGGCACCTAGAAATGTTCAGTCTTTCAGGTGTCTTCTTTCTTCCTCTGATCCTCCTGGATATTTACGGTCCAGGTGTGTAACATGGTGGCAAAGGCAAGGGGTTTCTAGTTTAGACCCCCATGTCCTCTGGGGCCTTGCTGATATTCATGTGGGGTAATTGGCCTTGCCTGCCCCAGGGCCTTTCTGCCAGCGCCCTGAGGCAAAGGGGGAGAACCTTCTGGTTTCCTCTTGGCTCCATCAGGTCCTAGTGATCCTGCTAATCCCTCCCCTGCTGATTCTGTGAGCACTAGAGGCTGCTCTGTGTCTCAGCTACACTCCAGCAAGCCCTCTGGAGCCTCTTCTTCTTTTATTTATTTATTTTTTAATTTACTTCTAGGAGAGAGAGAGAGACAGCATGATCAGGGGAGGGTCAGAGAGAGAGGGAGTCACAGACTGAAACAGGCTCCAGGCTCCGAGCTGGCAGTCAGCACAGAGCCCGACGCGGGGCTCGAACCCACCAACCGCGAGATCATGACCTAAGCGAAAGTCGGACGCTTAACCGACTAAGCCACCCAGGCGCCCGGCTCTGGAGCCTCTTCAACAGGATCGCCTTTCCCCTTCCCATGATAGCTCCCAGTTCAGGCCCACTCTTCTCAGATCAGTGGCCTTCCTCTCACCCTGGGGTATGAAAGAACTTTCCTTCATGCCCAACAGAAGCTGAGGGCAGCTCAGGGGAGGTAACCCCTGCTCTCCTCCTCAAACCAGGTGGCTCTGCCTCTTCCATTCAGCTGCAGCTGTGGGTGTTGCCTGGGACCACCCTGCACTTCTCTGGTTTTAGCTTTCCCCTCTGTTTGTGTGCTATTGCTCCCCTTCAGGGGCTGGGTCTAGAAGGGAACAGTCGTTCCACATTTGTCTGACCCTGGTCTCCCCAATCCCTGCTTCCTCCTTTATATATTCTCTCAGGGCAGAAGGGGTGGCCAGCCATTTTCTCTTACCTTGTAGTGACTTATGCTCCATGCCCTTCTTCTTCCCACCTCCTTCCCTGGGCCCTGGGAGAGAAACTGCCTCAGAGAAAGGGAAGATGCACGAGTTTTAACTTCCTAACACTAATTTTTGAGCATTTAAGAATTTTCAAGCTTGTTTGTCCAAGGACACTTCTGTGTTCCACTAAATTTTAAGCCCATTTTAAGCTACTAATAAGAAAGGAAGGCCCTTCAGAGAAAGTCAGTCAAATGTAGAAAGTGGGACAACCACTCACTTGTGAAACTGCAACTGCAGCACTTTACACATCTTGGTGATCTTCTTTGATCTTTATGCTTGGCCTGGAGGGGAATAAAATATAAGTGGCTAAGAACTTAAACTTGTAAATGGGGAGCGTTCCCCTTTTGAGCAGTAAGTGGGCAAGTAATTTGATCTTCACTTTACACCAAAAACCAAAACATACTCCAGACAATTCAAGAGTGAAATATAAGAAAATGGAAGTGTAGAAAATCTAGAAAAATAGAATTAGATATGTATCAAACATCAGGAGGGACAAGGACACAGTAAACTAACTTATAAGTGGTGGTAGAAGTCATGAAGAAAAGAATTGGCAGACTTGACTGTATGAAATTAATTTTTAAATTAAAATTAATTTAATTTTTAATGTTTTATCTATAATGTAAAATTTTAAATATATAGTTGTATTAACATTTTAATTATTATTAAGTAAATAATCTTAATTTAAACTTTCAGTGTTTATTAATTTATCTTGAGAGAGAGAAAGAAAGATAAAATGATCGAGGGAGGGGGCAGACAGAGAGGGAGAGAGAGGATGTGAAGGAGGATCTGTGCTGACAGCAGAGAACCTGATGTGGGCTCGAATTCACCAACGTGAGAGCATGACCTGAACTGAAGTCAGATGCTTAATGATGGAGCCAGCCAGGTGCCCCTCTTAATTTAGTTTTTAAATTAAATTTGCTTTATCCTAACTGGCTGTTCATGAAATTGGTCACAGGCAAACTGGATTTTAAGTGAATTGGTTTGGGAGAAGCTGTTAGCTCCACCTCAGGGGGCATTGGAAGGAACAGAGAAAGAAAGAGATGTGAATAATATTGCTGGAGGCAAAGGCAGGATTGGTGACAAAGCAGATACAGAAGACAGAGGAGGGAGGAGTCAAGAATAAATCTGAGGTTTTGGACCCAGGTATCTGGGAAGGTATGGGAATTAACTAACCCAACTTTGGAACCAAGGGAGAGGGCCAGGTTTCACTACTCCAAGTTGAAATCGCTATCAGTCATTTGTTCTCAGACTTTGATTTGTATTAGAGTCACTGTAGGATTTGCTAAAACACACATTTCTGGGTCCATCCATCCTCACAGTTGCTGGTTCAGTAGGTATAGGTTGGAGTTTCAGTATTTGCATTTCTAACAAGTTTCCAGGTGATGGTTTGCTGCTGACCTCACTTTGAGAATCACCATCTGGTTTTTGGGGTGGAAGTAGTGGGAGGCATCCAATAGAGTGGGCCTGGAGAGAGCACAACCAGACAGAAGGATAATTATTGCTCCCATTTACTGTAAAGCTTCCCATTTGTATGTCAATAATGGATAAGTATTGATCATCCCCTGGGGAAGGGCTACAGGGTGGGTAGGGGTTGGGAGGATGGAGAGGCCAGAGCCCTTGAGCCACTTGTCTTTGACCTGAGCAGCTGTCTCCATTTACCCCAGAGTGCATATCACTCTGCAACATTATCATTTTGCTTATGTAAGCAGTGATAGGAAAAACTGTAAAACGTTGCAAAGCACGGTTTTCCTGAGTGCTTATTCTGTGGCAGACTCCAGTGATATCCCTATGAGCAAGATGCTATTATTATCCAGATTTAAGAGAGGAAAAAATGTAGGTTTAGAGAGGTTAAACCACTTGAGTGGTTCACTTCAGTGTCACATGGCTGGTAATTGGCAGATTCAGGATTAAAGCTTTGTCTGGCCCTTTTCCAAACCTGAGCGTCTAATCATTATGCCTCTTAAAGGATTTGAACATAATCTGCATAGAGGTGATATTTAAAACAATAATATTGGATAAAACTACCAGGGAAGAGGGCTTAGAGAGAAATGTTCAATTATAGTACCTGGGGGAACATCTACGTTTAGGGCATGAGGGAAAGAAATGGAGTGCTAGAGTATAACACAGAAATGAAAAGAGAAGAAAGCATCTATAGAAAATTTCACTAGGGTTATATGCTTTGGAGCTGTCACGAAAGAAAAAGACAAAGCAAAGTCCACTGAATTTTGAGACTAAAGTCATTGTTAATCTTTAAAGGAACTGCTTCACCAGAGAAGGATGAAAAGCTCTGTGTTTATCTGTTGCTGAGTAACAAACAACTTCAGACATAGTGTCTTAAATTAATAGCATCCTTTATTGTTTCTCACGTTTCTGCGGATTGATTTGGCTCAGCTGGGTGGTTCTTCAGCTCCACCTGGTGTTGACTAGGACCCTGCGAGGCTGAAGTTATCTTGAGGTCTTGCCAGAAAC